GAGGACAAGCCTCTGGAGATGACCATGACCAAGATTCGCGGGGGGCGCGGATCGCTAGTTTCCGCGCATGGGAGGCGGAAGCTAGAAAGGAGAGCTGCAAGTGGAGAGGCTGAACAGCTACAGAATGGGATGGGGCCAGAGGGAGAGCTGGGGGGATCCGGCACTTCAAGCCCGAAGAAGGCGGCCACGGCGTCGCCGAACACCAATGGAAACTCAACAGGTGGCAGGAAGAGCGGCAGGAAGACTCTTACAAAACACAAGAGCCTGGTGAAACTGGGTAGCTCGGAAGATCTGCTTATGCGGCGGATGCAGGGCCTAACCAGTGGGCTCACAGGCATGGGGGATGATGATTGATGACGATGCTGCGATCGGTTATACTTGGGCCGGAGCTAGATACAAAGTAAACAATAGATGAATCATGATTATATATTCGTGCCCTGCAAGAGCACGAGCTGTGAATGTCTCAAAGCGGGCAAGCGGGCTGCCGGTTGCGCGAGATTATTTCCGGGTCTGGAAAAAAGAACCCGTTGAATTGAAATGGCTTATGGATTATGGGTTGCGGGTGCTGAGAGAGAGGCCTCTTTCTCATATGGGGGAGCTTGTTGCTATGGTGGATTGGCGCCTAACGATCATATTGACGGATGGTGTGGTGGCCTGAAGTTGGCTGTTTTCCGCTCGTAAAATTAAGCCCCAAAGGGGAAGCCCCTTCCAGAAATAAGCTGAAACTAAACAAAAGAAACCAACAAGATGGGAAAAAACCTCACTGTGCAAAATTACCCTCATTTCAATAACCCGTGTCAGTTTTTGGCTATACGTGAGGTCCGGGATCTGAGGCTGACGGTTGGGTGGCTTTATTATGGAACAGGTGGCTGGTATCGGGAAGTAACTCGACGGTAGAGGGTAGGTACACTGATTGACCAGCTGCACCAGCCCCTGAGGCGGCTGAGGCGTCGCATCGTCATGCCTGAGCGGCCTCCTAGGCCTCGATTCCTTGGTTTCGTGGAGGTGGGTCATCCTGGACCGCCTTCATGCCTCGTTCGGGGATCGATGACAGAGTTACTCAGGATGGACTCAGGGAGGGTCTCGGGGAGGGAGCCGCCGGAGAATGGCCAGAATTCAGGATGGCGTAGAGGTGCGCGAGATGGATGCCATACAGGCGGATGGTGCCGGGTTTGGAGTCATGGCATGGCTCGTGGGCCAATGATTCTACCGCCAGTCTATTATTACATAGTACTGCTGCATTGCAGCGACTTGTCGATTCGCGATTCCATGGATGGGCAGGACCCAACAAAGGGGTCTGGGTGTCCATAGACAACCAACGAGGGCCAACCATGATGCGGCCCCGGTTCTTCTGGAAATTGACGGAATTATTTCAGAAATAGATGGCCCTGATTGACGGGATTGACCCCAAAGGACCGCCATTCTGATCGGAGTCGGCCAGGGCTGGGCGTGGCCAAGCAGCCAGAAGCGCAAAGGAAGCGAATATCACCTAATCAATCAGGTGAGTTTGCGCGGTATCTGGTATGAGGCTTGGGCACTCCAGAGCACGGGGCAGCGCCGGGCGACTCAACATCGTCATTAGCAGACCGTGATTCGCCTGGCCGAGACATTCGCGGTAAGCCGGATGGGCCATCCGCCGTGATCGAGCTGCGTTTTAAGCCATTCTACCAGGAGTATGGTTCTGGGTTATTCGGGCTGTCCACACATGGTGTTGCAAACATCCATGTGCTTTGTTTTAGGCTGCTTCGACAGACCGCCTTAGTCGGTCTGGTCTGTTGGTCTTTTCTGGGATTTTTTGGGGGGTCGGAGAGGAAGGGGTCTGTCAGCGCCTTCCCTTCCAGAGGTCCTTCTGGTCCTTCGTTCCTTCCACGTCCTCAGGCTCATCCGCGGTGTAAATCTGAGGTACCTGAGGAGCCCGTATTTAGGCTCCTCGCACGGCGCTGAGATGCCGTGCAGCAGTGGTCCCATCACCTGTGTCCAGGCTTACGCGCGTACGACATAGGCTCTATCGCCTGCATGTCGGTAGGTTTCACTCAGTGAGCTAAGCTCTTGCTTACAGCTGCAACCAACGGCTGGCCGGTATGGATGGATGCACTGCAGTCAATGCAAAACGCCCAGCCATGCCGGCTCCGCAGCATGCTCGGGCTGGCGTGTGTGGCACTGATACGATTTGGGCCGTGGTGAGCTCGCAGGGGCTGGCGGTGGTGTGTGCATGGTGAGGCGTGTGTGGTGTGGTTTTGGGGCCAGACACGACATGTCCAATACGCAGCAATTACACCGCAACCACTAAGCAGAGCAAGTCGCCTCCACAGACCCTCCAACCTCTGCTGGCTCGACGGTGTTCTAATTATGACCTATGCCAGTACTTATTAATTTACTTTCCCGGGCTCGTCGAGCTAGGCCAGGTATGTAGTACGTCAGGTAGCCCAATGGGTATCGGCGAGGTAGCTACCTGTGTCTGGCTGGCATGGTACCTTCACATGGCCCTATTGCCTTACCACCTTTCGAGGTATGCTCCTTGGGCACGCAGCATTGCAGCTCGATTTGTGAGGCAATGCTGAGTCTGATTAGCACCTGCGATCCGTCCCTCCTGCCCGCCCTCCCGCCAGTCCCTTTGCTTTTCCCCTCTGCTCTGCTGCCTCCCGTTTCCTACAAAAGGCTGCCCTCTCCCTCCCCATCCCAGGCCCAAAACCCTCGCAGCGTCGTTCCCGTCTCCCATCCTCCCACCGCTTAAACATCTCTTTCCCATCTGGCTCTCCAGCTTAGATAGGCACATACTTTATCTGCTCCGAGCTTAATTCAATTGATTCCACCCCATCTACTCTCTGTTCCACCTCACAGCTCGCCCATCATGGTCCATCTGTCGGGAATCCCGGATAAGAATCTCAACGTAGATGGCTTGAGTACTGGCAGATTAACTCCTCAGCCCGATGGCAGGAGAACCCCCCAGCTCCAGCTCATCAACTTCCCTGATCAGTTTACCACCAGTGTCTACGGCTCGAGATTTGCTGGCGAGGACCTTCCCCGCACTAAGATGCCCGAATGCGAGATGCCCCGCGACATCGCCTATCGTATGATCAAGGACGATCTCAGTCTCGACAACAACCCCAAGCTAAAGTAAGCGCTCCTTGGATTTCCCATTCCCTGTCTATTTTTTTATAGTGTGATATTTTCGACAAACATGAATATTTTAGCTAACGTCGCTCGTCGCACAGTCTTGCTTCTTTCGTCACCACTTACATGGTGGGCACACCCCCTTGTTGTTGGTCTCAGAACCGCAATGGAACCTGAATGACCTGACCGCAAGGATTTTTTCTCACCCATATTATAGGAAGAGGAAGCTGAAAAGCTCATGGCCGATGCCTTCCCTAAGAACTTTATTGACTACGAGGAGTACCCTCAATGTGCCGAGATCCAAAATCGCTGTGTCAACATGATCGGCGATCTCTTCCACGCACCCGCTGGGACCGCCGTGGGCACCTCGTCTGTCGGCTCCTCCGAGGCCATCATGCTCGCCGTGCTCGCCATGAAGAAGCGCTGGAAGCAGCGTCGACAGGCCGAGGGCAAGCCAACCGACCAACCTAACCTGGTCATGTCCTCCGCCGTCCAGGTGTGCTGGGAAAAGGCCGCCAGGTACTTCGAGGTCGACGAGAGGCTTGTGTACTGCACACCCGAGAGGTATGTCATCGACCCTGAAGAGACAGTCGCTCTGTGCGATGAGAATACCATTGGTATCTGTGTCATCTTGGGCACGACGTACACCGGTGAGTACGAAGACGTCAAGACTGTCAACGACCTCTTGGTTGAGAGGAACATCGATGTTCCCATCCACGTCGACGCTGCCAGCGGTGGCTTCGTCGCACCTTTCACTGTCCCTGACCTAGAATGGGACTTCCGCTGTGAAAAGGTCGTGTCCATCAACGTCTCTGGTCACAAGGTAAGTCCCGAGAAACCCGAGACATGTCGTGAGTTGCATGGCTGATATCATCCAGTACGGTCTTGTCTACCCTGGTGTGGGCTGGGTCCTCTGGCGAGCTCCCGAGTACCTTCCCAAGGAACTCGTGTTCAACATCAACTACCTGGGTGCCGACCAGGCTTCGTTCACCCTTAACTTCTCCAAGGGAGCTTCACAGGTGGTGGGACAATACTACCAGCTCATCCGCCTGGGTAAGCACGGATACCGCTCCATCATGAGCAACCTTACACGCACAGCCGACTACCTCACTCGCTCCCTGGTACAGCAAGGATTTATCATCATGTCCAAGCCCTCTGGTGAAGGACTGCCTCTAGTCGCCTTCCGCTTTCCTCCTGACGAGGACCGCGGATTCGACGAATTCTCCTTGGCAAGGACTCTTCGTAGCCGTGGTTGGGTCGTCCCCGCCTACACGATGGCTCCCCACACAGAGGAGCTCAAGATGCTTCGTGTCGTTGTTCGAGAGGATTTCTCCCGCAGCAAGTGCAACATGTTGATCAACGACATTAAGCTCTGTGTCGGACTCCTCAAGGAGACTAATCAGGAGGTCCTGAGGAGACAAGACGCTTACATCCAGAAGCACATTCTTTCAAGTGGCAAGCTCCGAAATGACGCGAGCCCAACAGCCTACAAGGTACGTAGCTTCTAATTCCTTTTTGGCATGAAACATCTATTGACACTTTCTCTCGTAGAATGAAACGCATTCTATCCAAGGCAAGACTGGAAAGACTCACGGTATCTGCTAAGGGTGGCCATTGGCCCCTCTACCCCTGTTTTTATAGAGATTTTGTTTCATCCTTGGGCTATCAGGTTGGATTTAGATTTCCCCGACTCAAATGTTCCATGACAAGGTTCATTGATCTCTTCTGGTTAGCTTCTATTGTTTTCTGTTTATGGGAGTCGGTTTTTGCTGGAGTAGGTCCTGATACACCGGTTGATTCTATGAAGAGATGAATGCATATTCCCCCTTTCTATTCTATTCATGTTCCTTCAATACAATCCGTTCGTGAATTCGTAGCGAGTATGTTCATGTCGGCATGCAAATCACAAAGCTTGGGCTTGCTAAATCAAAACAAACTAGGTCGAGGCTTGGCTGGGGTTTGCCGGACTAACAACCTGGCAATAATCACCACCAAAATACCTGCGATGATGGAGCCAATCGCAACTAGAAGAGTTCTAGTTAGCACAACGCAGATTTGCCAGTGGGAAGACTGGAACACCATAATATATGTAGGACTTACTGATGGAGAATGTCCACCCGGCTCCAATGGCATCAGTTAGGGGAACAGTTGCCCCTACTCCGACTGCGCCGAAACAATATTGGACAACATACTTGCCGCTGATAACGGCCGTCTTGTATTCGGGGTTTGATTCTAAGGGATTACGACAAAGGTTAATCAGCTGAATCAACCACTGGTCCAGGCGTGGTTGCGTGTCTTCTCACCTGCAGCATATGTGTTGAGCCCGCTAAAGGACGCCATCAAGCCGAAGCCCTGGATGAAAGCAGCGCTGATGGGGAGCCCCATGCCCCCAATCGACTTGTCGATGCTCCATCCGTACAGGAACGTCCCCAGGGGCAGGACCCCCAGGACCCAGAGCGGGGTGCTGTTCAGCCTGTCCTCCGCCAGGCGAACGCCCTCGCGCTTGTCGATGTACCGCCTCACCACCCTGTCGGAGACGTTGCCCCCGACGATGCTCCCCAGCAGGAAGCCGACGCCGGGCGCGAGGTAGAAAAGACCGCTCTGCAGTGGGGAGGTGAGCCCGAAGAGCGGGTTGATCAGGTGGCGGACGGAGCTGAGGATGGCGTATTGGTTGAGTCCCAGCAAGCCACAGGCAAGATTCTATGCAACGGTGTAAGTCACCCTAAGTATCATGGAGGAAAAGGGGGAGTGTTTGCTGACCGAAAGGATAACACCGGGGTACTTCCATTGGTAAAACACGGCAGACGGGTTGAAGGCCCGCAGGACATCCCGCCCGGAGAGCTTCCTGCCGACCGACTCGTGCGTGCTCAGGTTGGACAGCTCGCTCGCCTTGGGGACGAAGAAGTAGGCGAGGACGAGCCCGATGAAGCTGATGCCCGACAGCACCCCGAAGATGGCTCGCCAGGTGGTGTACGTCGCGATGACACTGCCGACCAGCGGGGCTAACCACCAGACTTTAGCTTTGCCTCTCTGGAAATGTATGTATGGATGATAAAGAGTGACTTACCTATCGACTGGGAACTAACGCAACTGCCGAGGAAGAAACCAACGGCCATACCACGGACGGTCTACGGTTAATCAGCATGAATAATACTTTACAAAGCACATTAAAAAAGACCAGGGGTGAACAAACGGGCTCAAAGATATCAGCGAGGATGGTCTGGCCCGCAACCAAGAAGAAGGGACCCGTCGTGGCACCAATCGCCCACACGGCCGTCAGAGAAGCCAGGTTCCTCGCCAGGGCGCACCCCATGGCGCAGAGTATCAGAATGACAGTGGCAACAATGTACGCCCTCCGACGCCCGATGAGGACGCTGATGGGCAGCCAGATGAGGGCCGACGCCGCCATGGCAGCCACGACGCAGGCGTTGGCGGTGCTGATGCTGGTCGTGGTGGTGTTGAGGCTGGCGGCGATCTCCGGCATGGCGGTCATGATGGAGGTGCTGAGGAAGACCATGGGGAGGGCCATCCAGCACACGGAGAAGAGGATGACCCAGCGGCGCCATGTTGGCAGCTTGGCTACCCGGTCGTCCTGGGCGATGAGCGGGAGGGGAGGGTCTTCTTCCGGAGAACTGGCCGCCTCTTCCACCTTGATGATGGGCTGGGACTGAGCCTTGGGCTCAGGAGTCGGTTGTAACATCGGGAAGATGTATCGGCGGGTTAAAGGGGTTACAGCCTGGTTGGTAACATTCAATGGCCTTTGGAGGAGACGATATGGTAGAGTGTACTCTCAAGGAATCTCATTGCACGAGCCTGTACGAAGGACAAGACAACAACAGAAACTCGAAATCAATTGAACAACCGGAATCAGATTCCGGCCAGGGGATACGATTGACATATTTTTTCCCCTGCAGCCAAGCCGGGAGTCACACTACCACCCTCTCGGCGTCCTTCGCTGCAAGACCGCGGCGACTTGTAAAGATACCGGCGCCTGCAGACCGCCCATCGGAGGCAACACGCCCAAGACGCCTTATCTCATGCAGGACGGGTGGGCACATTAGGCCACATCAGGCTGCTGGGCCTGGTCGAGTGGAAACCACGAAGCGATCATGGCGCGGGTGTAAGCCGGAGGTTGGAGCGCTGCCGACAGTGAAAACCCTGCGATGCTCCGAGATCGCCTCCGCCCGGTGGGTTTGGTCGGGTCTAACCAGGGGCGTCGTGCCGCTTTCGTGCTTGTAGGGCCCCGTCGGCTTGACGCTGCCGGATTTTGTCATCGGCCGGTGGTATGACGAGCCGGTGAGTCGCTATAATACGTTTAGGTTGTCTGGAATGCTATGGGAAGATGGGCTGGTTAGTTGTAAGTTAGATTGATCACGAGAATTCTTATGAGTGGATTCTTGAAGAGTAGAAACCGTAATATATCATCATTTCTATCCGCTAGCCATTCCATCTAATTCATTCCCTTTTTTGAAAACCCTGGTATCTAATTACAGCCCAATCATGCCCGAGTTACCGCAATGGCTTCCGCCAGGATATCCAACCCAGACTGGATCTCCCGCTCCGTCACGTTCAGGCTTGGGACAAAGCGGACCGTGTTGGTACCGGCAGTGATGATCAGGAGACCCCTCTCGCGAGCAGCCTTCAAGATGGGCGTGGGATCCTCCGACAGCTGGAGCCCGAGAATCAGACCCTTGCCGCGCACCTCCGTGATCAGGTCCGGGTACTGCCTCCGCAGCTCCTCGAAGCGCGCCCGGAACACGTCCGACTTGGCGAGCACCTCCTTCTGCAGCTCGGGGTCCGAGAGCCGGCTCACCATGTAGTGCGCGACCCGGCTGGCCAGCGGGTTGCCGCCAAAGGTGGTCCCGTGGTCGCCCACCTTGATGTTGTCGCTCACGGTCTGGTTGACGATGACGGCGCCGATGGGGAAGCCGTTGCCGAGGGCCTTGGCCGAGGTGATGATGTCTGGGTGCGCCTCCTTGGGGAGGACGCCGTGGGCCCAGAAGGTGCCGGTGCGGCCCATGCCGCACTGGATCTCGTCGTAGATGAGCACCGCGCCGACCTCGCGGCAGCGCTTCGCGAGGGCGACGAGGAACTCCTCCGAGGCGGCCCGGACACCGCCCTCGCCCTGGATTGGCTCGACAATCACCCCGCATGTCTTCTCTGTAACCAGCCCGGGGATGGCGGCGATGTCGTTGTAGTCTCCGACACGGAACCCGGGGACCATGGGGGAGAAGGGCTCCTGGTATTTGGGGTTCGGCGTGGCGCTCAGGGCGCCCATCGTCCGGCCGTGGAATGCGCCGTTGAAGGATACGAACTCGTGCTTGGCGCCGGAGGGGTCGATGGCCTTGCCGACCTTGCGGGAGAACTTGATGGCGGCCTCGTTGGCTTCGGATCCGGAATTGCAGACGAACACGGACGAGGCATTGTGCATGCCACCAGACTTGATAGTCTTTTCGACGAGCAGCTTGGACAGGGCGCCGGTCCAGGGGTTGTAGTAGAGGTTCGAGGCATGGACAAGAGTCTTGGCCTGTGGAGTCACTCGTGTCAGTTGTCGAGCCCAATATGAGCCATGGGAGAGCAGCGCGATGGTGGGGGTTAGCGAACCTGTTCGGCTACGATCCGAGCGACCTCAGGCTCGCAATGGCCAAGAGCGTTCACAGCGATACCAGCAGTGAAGTCAAGGTACTTCCTGTCCTCGATGTCCCAAATATATGATCCCTCGGCTTTGGTGAAAACGGGGGGTGGGCGAGCGTATGTGGCCACCATATAAGGCGCATGTTCAGCAACGAGAGCTGCGCTGGGGGAGCCTTCAGCGGGGTCTGGGTTCGTTGGCAACGTAGCTTCATTCTGGAGGGATGGAATGGTTAGAATTTTGTCCGAATTATGGTCATAGAGACCAAAGACAGAGATAGAAGCGAGGAGAGGGCGTTTAACGTACAATCTTGTGTCGCACAGCTGACGACGAAAAGACCCTGTGCGAAAGTCGGGATGCCGAGACCGCGCGGGAATTAGAGAGGGCGGCCGCCAATTGGCGATGAACCGAGTGTCGCAGAGCCATGATTCGCAACTACCGGGGTCTTCGAACAAACTTTCGAATTATCTCCCTCTACAGTGCAAATTGGCAAGGTCTGGTGAAGAAGGATTGGGCTGAATGTTAAATGGAGTCCTGAGACAGATTCTCGCAAGAAGGGCAGACTCAATATTTTGCTCTTATCGATAACAAGCTCAGCTCCGGTCTCGCTCTGCGTCATTCTCGACAAGCTGCAAGGATGAGGATATGCTGTGACTCTGTGTACCCAGTCATCAAAGCTGCATGTAAGGCTTTCCAATCACTTAGACTCGATGGATACAGAATGCGGGATCTAGTCAAGGGGCGAATTGCCGTGAGATCATACTACATGTACAGTCACTCATGTATGACTGGTGCACATTTAGGACGAGAATTAAGCTCATCCTCCGTCCTCGTTGAACGTCCCCACACACACGCCGCGGCTTCTTCTCAACGGTAACTACAATCCTCTAATACTGGCTTGATAATTTGAATGAAGATAGCTTCTTGCCAAGTGGGGTTGAAGGGAACATGCCTACAACGACGACACTCTGACAGCTACAGCAATTCTTGTACATCGACGACTGATGAATGCTGGCTGTATTGTGTTTGACAAGGCAAGTCTCACCAGTGTAGAAATACACCCCACTCCTTGGCAATAGATCCAGAAATATCGATTCTAAATGCGACACAATAGCTAATGAACAATGGCAAGAAGCCGACTCAGGTGTACAGATTCGATGACTCTTATGTATCCATCCAGAACGCCCGCCTAGTCTCCGCACAAAAGAAATATGGTAGCTCCCATCCTCCCATCCCAAAATAAACCAGCTTTGGAGCTGCAAATAGCTCCAAGTTACCCCCTGCGCCTGCCTTGAAAGCCCACATAATCCTCGTCTTCCTCTAGACAGCGCTATATCCACCACGACTTCCGGTGCCCTGTACTGTGTTGAGCACCTGGCGGGTCCAGTCCTTCAGCAAGTATGGAATGTCTCGGATAGTGTCGCCGTGGGGGAGGAGGTCCCATCCCCGTGCTCCGTAACGAGTGTAGTTCAGCCAAGAGCCGAAAATGAGGTAGGCAGAAACACCGAGGAAGGCACTGCAAACCGTTAGCTACCATAGTCCTTGTAAAGAACAAGTTCCCGTAATTCCACTTACATGATAATGAACCAAGTAAAGAAGCCCCAGTGGCTGTTGTTGTTCTGTCTACCGTCATCGCCGCTGTCCTCTTTGCTTTCGCAAGCGTGCTTGGTGTACCAGGTAAGTCGCAGAGTGTCGACGTTCTTCTCAGCATCATCTGCGCCGTAGCTCTCCCAGACAAGGGCCGCGCCGTCATTGAGCAGTTGGTGTTCAGAGCTGGACTTCTCGTCACCCTTGTCGTCCTTTTCGTCGCGAGCGCCCAGCTGTTCGAACTCGTCCCCATCGTAGCGATCTTCCGAGCGCCACTCGCCCTCCAGGCCGGTCATGGTGCTGTTGCAAAGAAACTCAATCACCGCGCGTTGGTCCCGACGGTCCTTTCCTTCGAGGGGCTCTCTGCCACCTTTCAGCACCAACCTCACTCCCTCCTTTTGCGAATCAGAGTTGGAGTCGCTCGTTTTCAGACGTGTCGCTTGGTACTCGAACTGCGTGCCGCCGTTGTCTTCCAACGCTCCAGCGATGGCAATGACATTATCAATGGTGTCCACGTCGTCCTTCAAAAGCCGGGTAATGGCGCATACTTTGGACCATTTGTCAGCCGACGCCAAGGCTTAAACCTCATGAGGCACCCGGAAGAGACATACCTTGAGTACCGTTGGGACATTCCTCGCCTTTCTTCCCACTGCCGGTCTTCTTCAGAGGACGACAGATATCGAGAGTATAGGTTGTGTTGTGGTAATTATCTGCTATCGAGTTGTACCGCGACGTAACGACGGAGTGGGGTCCCGTGAGCGCCGAGAGATCGAACTTGTGCTTGTCGACTACCAGGTTGTCGCAGTGCAGGATGTTGGTTGACGATGCCGGCGAAACCGCTAGGAGGAGGGATAGAACGAGCGGAGATAGCTGTGACGAATGCATCGAGAATGCGCTGTTGGAGGTGCCTGCTTGTGAAGATGAAGATAAGGAAACAAATGATCAACGATCGGAGAGGAAAGGAAGAATCTGAAACCACGGGCTACGCAGCTCTCTACAGTTCTGGGAAGTGGGTTAAAGAGGAATGATGAGAATTACAGAGTGTTGCTTGCTGATAATGGCCAGTTGACCTGATCTCGTGCCTGGCTGGAGATCCCGACGTGACGAATTGGCTCGACTACCTGTCTTGGCGCTTGTGTCATACCTCCTATTAGTCAGCACGTGTCAATCACGTGCACCCCTAACTCATACCGGGATATTCACTGGGGAGACAAATCAGGCAGGCATCGCTGGAGCATTTGACGTTATGACGGAGTAATAGTTCATCATAGGGCATCAATTGAACTACTCTAGAGAACCAAGAGTATTTTAGATAACGACACCATTTTTGGACACAAATACGACGTTCGCCTGCCCAGTAATGACTCCCCAATGCATGTAATCCTAAAGCACAACGTGATCCTAACTCATGAATCCAAAACCAAACCGGGAAAACAACGCTCTCCATGGGTATTAAGAACCGGGGCCGGGAAACGATAAAAATAAAAGCCTTTTGGGACCCTCCTGTCCCAGCTTGCGAACGCCGCTCTTGGCCACGATCTGTCCCCCCTTCGTGACACGGTTCGTCCTCTCTTCTGTCGAAATAGACAACCTTCCTTTCACAACTTCGATCATGAAAGAAAGTAGTTGTTATTCTTACATTTGGGGGCCCATCATGCCACCCATTCCTTGCATAGCCTGTTGCTGCTGCTGCATCAGCAATTGGTTTTGCTGTGCGGCTTGACGCTGAGCAATCGTGTTCTTCACAATCATGTGCGCCTGCTGAATTGACTGTGCTTTCACTTGGTTCACCACCTCTTCTGGGACCTGCTCCCGGCCACCGTACTTAACAGTAGTCTCCTGGATCATCCTAGCAAACACGCTTCTTGCTGTCTGGTGGATTTGCATCTGCACGGGGCTTTGTTGCTGCTGCTGCTGGCTCATTTGCCGCTGCTGTTGTACAGCCTGCTGCTGCTGCTGCTGCATCTGGAGCATAGCCTGCATGTTCGCGTTGTTTCCGTTCATCATCTGGCTGCTGACCTGCCTCTGCATGGCATTACCACCCATCTGCTGCTGAGCCGCCGCCGCCTGCTGCGCTGCCTGCTGCTGCTGCATCCTAGCCATTTGCAACTGAGCCTGCATCTGAGGGGTCATTTGGCGCATCTGGTTGCCTTGCATGTTTTGTAGCTGCTGAGAATATTGCTGAGCGAGTTGTTGCTGAGTAGGCATGCCTCCTTGCTGCTGCTGCATCTGCTGCTGCTGTTGTTGTTGTTGAGCAAGATATTGCTGTCGCTGTTGCATCATCGCCATCATATGCTGCTGTTGCTGTGGTGACATTTGTGCAACCATGTTCCCATTAAGATTGGCTCCTTGCATATTATGCTGCTGCTGCTGCTGGAGATGCTGCTGCTGCTGTTGTTGCATCGCACGTTGTGCAGCGAATTGTGCCATCAATTGTGGATTCTGCTGGGCCAAGTTTTGGTTGTTCATCATCATCATTTGACCCATCTGGGAGTTCTGTGCCATCATGTTAGGCGGCGGGCTCGCCTGGGTCATACGAGGCGTTGCAACCATTGCCGGTCGGCTGATAGGAGTGCCATGGGCCATGTTAGGAGTAGAGTGCGGCATGCGTGGCGTCCCTGAGGGGTGACTTTGCTGACTCCCCCTAGCAGACATATTATGCGCCATGGGAACAGACATGGGCGGGTTTTGTACCACAGAGGATGGTCGGGGAGGACTGGCAGCCATGGCAGAACTCGTCTGCTGCATTGGTACACTGTTATTAACCATGGGCGACGAATGGTTCTGAGGAGTGCCCTGGCGGATGATAGGTGATTGCGCCGACACCACTTGCTGCTGTATCTGAGCAGGAAAGCGAGCCTGGGCTTGTCCAGCCATGACAGCGTTCTGGACAGCATTTGGTGGCTGCTGTGGCACAACTTGACCGCCGTTCGGCATGTTATTAGTAGCAATGGGGTTTTGCTGAGGGTGGACATGCGGCGTAGGGGCACTGTTTTGTGGTGTGCTGACCTGCTTCGGCGGTGCAACGGGTGTAGTGTTTTGTACTGCTCTGGCGGCCATTGCTGCTCTTTGTGCTTCGCTTTGCTGTCGGGCGTGGTTTTCTCTGATGGCAGCCTCACGTCTTGCCTTCTCTGCAGCCTCAGCCTGCTGCTTCTGTGCCGCCTGCGCCTGCTCCTGTTGCTGTTGCAGTCTCTGCTGCTGGAGTCGCCTATCATTCTCCTGTTGCTTGATCTTTTCTTGCTCCTTCTTCTCCGCATGTTCCCGTTTGATATCTGCAATAACCTTAAATCGTTCAAATCTAGGCTCAAATGCGGTTGCGCCATTCTGAGCATCGCTGTCTGTGCCGCCGGCATTCTGCGCGCTTGTGGTACCGGACCGTTCATCCAGGAGAAGCATGTAGCGTTCCTGTTCAGCCGCCGCTGCCTCATCCGCTGCCATCTCCGCGACTGTTCTCTTCCGAGTCTTTGGCTCGGGCGGTGGTCCAGAATGCTTGGGATGCGCCATCGCATCCAGGAGGATTATTTGCTCCTCCAAAGTCTTGGTAGGTTCTAGGAATAGGGGTGCTTCAGTTGCCAATAAAATCTGGCCTTCTGCAGCAGCAAGATGGTTTGGTTCGAGCTCCATTTTGACCTTCTTTTGCCGTTTTGCCGGAGGTGGCATCGTGGCAGCTGTCGGGGTTGGAGGAACCAATGTCATGGGTGTTGAGGGAGGGACACCATTTGTCCCCTCTGTTTGGCGCCCATCTCCGCCAGCAGGTGTAGTCGCCTTGATGAGTAGATCTCGCTGTAAGCTCTCGGAAGTTGGGTGTAATACCAAGGTATAGACTTTAGGTTTAGCGGGAGTCTTCGACTTCTGCCCATCCTGGTGCGTTGTTGATGTTGAGTTTTCTTTCTCTTTGTCTTCCTTCGCTTCCTCCTTGATTACTTCCGCTTCGGCGGGATTGGTCTCCTCTGTCGGTACAGTCCCTTCCTTCGGAAAGGCAACATAGGGCGAAGGTGTAAGATATTGGCTGCGGCTATGAACGGATGAGGGGTCGGGGGCGTTGGAAGATGATGTTGGACGAGCGGTTTCTTGGCTCTTAGCTGTTGACTTATGATCATGAACGCGAACAATTAGACAACCATCGTAGAATGGAACGTTAGCCTGGACTAAGTATTCCAGGATATCATGGGGGATTGTTCTCGTCTTGAGGTGTTGTAGAAACATCCGCATTGGGGATACGTAGGAGAAGATGCTATCCTGTCCGTCGAATCGGAAATGGTTGGGATGCAGATGCACCACTAATGATGGTCGTTTACCAGCATTTCTCTTGAGAACGTAGCTATCGGTAACAACTGGGACATGTTAGCAACACCGAAGACCCGGTCCGGATTGGCGCCGGGATATCTCACCATACGGCCGGGGCCCCCCATCCAAACCTTGCGGATCGGCCACCACTGAAGAAGACCGCAAGCCTGTGCTATTCCTTGAATTTCGGCCGAGTTGTGTTATCGTGTCGCGGCGAACCCGATTTACCGGTCGCACAGTCGAGGTGGTGATGTTGCGCTCCACCCCCGGATTGGGTGTGGGTTGCTTCGCGCTTGGCGGAGGTTTCTTGGCCGAAGCTGAGGGAGACGGCGAGGGGGTCGTGGCGACGACTCCGTTGGTCTGAATGCCCGGTGGCGGAGGGCGCTTCATCTTGCTGATGGGGTTCTGCACAACAACAGGTCCTACAGGAGCCATGATTGCTGAAGTCACAGCTGCGCGAAGGCAGCTGTTGTCCCTATATCAAGGCAGTCGCGGCGGCAAGATGTCGCGTCAAGGATCGGGCATCGAATATGTTTTCGCGGGTAATATGCTCGAGGAGTGGTGATGCAGAAAAGAATATAAGTAGGTCGGATCTAGGTGAAGCGTCTGCGTAACCTTGTCGGCGAGGGTTCAGGTCTGATGTCAAGCGAAACGATGGCGTTCGGAAATCGGCAGTTGATAGTAGCCTGCCCATCCAATGTGGCGCATTCCCTGGAGAATTATTACATCCAATCAATCCATGAGGATGCGAAAGAAAGCAACAATAAACGTGATAGAGAAAATAGAATACCAAAGGGTCGTACGTTGGCAAAACCGGGGTGGTAGATCGCTCGCGATCTTACGCCATACCAAGTCAATGGGATGCTGCAGATGAGGCGCCTCTCCATACTGCGGTGGTGTGCCTGGCCTGAGGCTGCACGTGTGACAAAGCATGGCCGGCTCTGGTCACGTGATCGCCAGCATCCACCACCAAGCCGGAACCTCAAACCACCGTCTCAGTCTTGTATAGGCAGCTCGGTTGTCAGAAATTTGGCTATGTGAGCATTGTTGCAGCGCTTTGATCGGCCACGGAACAATTCTAGTTTACAATTCGCGTTTCATACACCGATAACGCGTGTAGCACAGCACATAGAGAGCAAAGAATCGTCGCAAGTATCGTTCCGCTTTTTAAGCGCGCTGGCTATCCACTTCATATCTTGGTAATGACATCAACGTTCTACATCAACGTAAGAAGATAAATACGGAAAATTCATCGAAAACACAGACAAGCTCCTTCAAACAAAAGCGGAGCCCTCAAATATGCATTATATTCAAAAGCCAGCCTCTTTGCCCCCCTTCCCAAACATGAATCAGCCTCAATTGGGCTATTCCACGCCCTGAACGCGGCGCGTCCAATCATCGTGAACCCTGCCACCATCAACAACCACAACACCACGGCCACGACCGACCCTCTCGGGCCTCTGCCACCATTTCGTGACCTTGGTATTCCTCTCCGCCTCAGACTCGCTGTCAGCAAGACCGCCAGAGCTTTCAGCTCCCACAACCAAGATGACGTCGTAGCGCAGCCAAGTTTGCAGGTTGGTGATGATGCTGCCATTGTCTCCTGAAAGAGACTCCTGGAGATAGACAACCTCCGGCTGAAGATGACGTAGAATGTGCACATGACCATTCGGGGTGGTGAATGGAATTACCATAGTTTCCTTGTCGACAAGCGACAGCGCCTGTGAGTACACAGCATTGAATGCTGGGCTGGTAGACGCGTTCAGCCTTGATGAAACATTAGCCATATTCGTAGTTGTCAGCTCTTCTCTTTTATATACGTACTGTGGGCTCTTGGCTTCATCTCCTGGAGTTTGAGCTTGGTTGTGCTCAATGTTAGAATATGATGAGCTCAACGAAGGAGGCGGAAGGTTACTAGATGCAGCGGGGTCCAGGGGTGTATCCTTCAAGCTCGGTGCATAAATCAGAATGAAGAGCTTAATCTTCGAGAAGTCATTGTGCCGAGGAATGTGGGACAGGATTGACTATTTCGGGCATGTTAGATCAGTTCCGATTTCCCCATACAGAATGTGAATTGTCTTACCGCATGCTCATGATATCCACCATTGTCGGCCTCCGAAAGGGACGAGTCTGCCGAGACTACGAGGACGACAGTCTTCCTCTTCTTGCTTGTCGACGCGGGGGCACGTTCTTGCTTCAAATCTGCCTCTTCCGACCAAGGGTTATTCTCGGAATACTTGTCCTCCTCGCGGATTGATGCTAGGGCCTTACCCATGGCAGCGAACCCAGCAGCGACAGATTTTCCAGTAGAATCGATCAGCTGCTGCGGGCTGGGTGTTCGCCGAAGCGCACCGGACATTCTTGCGCCCCATCCAGGCGCGGACGCCTCGCTGGACGGTCCCGGCGCTACTCCAAAGCTCTGCTGATCATCCGCATAAGGAGGCTGTTGTGGCCGCGGGGGCTTCGAGGGAGTGAAGTCGTTCCTCGAAGCACCGTAGGCCGGATTATCGCCATAGTCGGCATTGTCGTAGTCCAGGCCTGGCTCGTCGTCGTCATCTGAGTCCTTGCGCTGGCTCCAAGCCCAGGCTGCAACTCCAGCTGTCGCGACAGTCAGGGTGATTGCGAGAGGCACCCAATGACTCCAAACTCCGCGGCGGGAGCGGGAGCCGCCATCGAATGGATCAGGCGACATCTATTCGGTATGGTGTCGCATTGCTCGGCGGGAAGCTGTCGGAAGTCACTCGAGGTGACCAAGGGTGCGCGTGTTAATCCTCTTGGCGGAGAGGGATTCTGCACGCTGGGTCAGGAGGCTGGCCAAACGGATGTTTCTGCTCCTCGGATACGATTCGAATTTGTCAATCGGAAAAGCCTGGGGTAACAGGCGTGGTGTTATAGCTAGATGGGGGGCTGGCATCGCGAACCGTCAACAAGGTGGAACCCCATTTCAGCTCAATCAGCAAACAAACCGGGATGGGGCGGCGCCATTGGCTGGCCTCAAAACAGGGGCAAATGGCCGAGCCGAGCCAGTTGCAGCTCCAAGGCCCAGCTGAGTCCACACGTGAAAGGAGGCACAACATGTGGCTAGTGTCATCACCAGCCACACTTCAGCCACGATTTTCTCGTAGCCTCAATCGGTCTTTGATAATGACTCTTTTTGACGTGGGCCACCGCATGAAACTTGTGACTGCATTCAAGGCGCCAGATATTTCCCAAAGCTAAGAGCTTGTGGAATTTAAGACAGGCCATATCATCTTGACCACAACATAATAGCGCTCCCTCGACAGTTCAAAGCAACTCATCTCACTGGATCTTTTCGTGGCTTGTGCAAGATACCAGGATGCCCCACGCTGTGTCGATGGCCTCGACCGGGCTTCAAGCCCTCATTCTATGCGGCCCAGGGTCCTCGTTTCCAACCTTCACCTCAAACCCAGATGAGCATCCCAAAGCGCTACTACCGATTGCCAATCGGCCCATGGTCTGGTACCCCATCGATTTCTGCTACCGAATGGGTGTTACAGGTGAGTCACATTGAAGCGCTCCGAACATGGAGAGAGAAGTTACGAAAAGGCAGTTCTTCAACAGAATCGGAGTCGCAATAAATTTGACCGCATCTTTTGATAGTACACAAGCTAAATGTAGTTCTCAGATATCACATTGGTTTGCCCACCGTCAGCTTCGCAAGCCATCAACACCGCAGTCAACACAAACCCTTATTTGACTGCTCTACCGTTGCCGCGGCCTGACGTGCTCGCACCGGCTGATCTGGACTACAACACCGGAACAGCTGAGATTCTACGTCTGCCAGAGGTCAGAAACCTGGTCAAGTCCGACTTCATTGTTCTGCCCTGCGACTTGGTGTGCGAAGTTGGCGGCGAAAAGCTTCTCCAGGCATGGATGGTCAAGTCGGCCAGCCTGACCGATCTCTTAAGCAGCTTGAAACTGAGCAATGGGAAGAATATCCCCAGCAGCGGAGGTCTCGGTGTCTGGTATGATACCAAAGCGATCGTCCCCATCAAGAAGGAGGAAACCGACTTCATCGCCACGGCGCCGATAGCCCCTACGCCTACCCCAACCCCCAAGGATTCCCTCATCCCCAAGTTGAGAAACCTTGTCTATTCTATTCCCACAGACTCATTGAAGGACCTGACAGAGGAGAGAAAGGGCGTCCCGATCCGCCATGGTTTGATGAGGGCTCACCCTCGCGTCCGCATGCTCACCACCCACCGAGATGCCCACATATACATCTTCCCCAAATGGATCTTAGACTTTGTCAAAGAGAATGAGCGCTTCGATAGCATTGGAGAGGACGTGGTGGGATGGTGGGCCAAGGCTGGCTGGCAGAAGGGCCTTGCGGAAAAGTTACGTGTCCTCGACGCTTGTGAACAGAAGCACACCAAGGACAACGATGCCAGCCCAGCCTCGCCCACCAGTGCCCACTCCCACCAGGATCCAAACGTACCGGGTGGCTCTTCAGTATACCACAACTCACTCCTGACGGCTGCTTACTTGGGTCAGGATCTAAGACGAGAGTCCGACCCTTCAAAGGGCGCTCATGCGGATCAAGTACCACCGATCCTGGCCTACGTTCATTCCGGCGAAGCTCAGGCACCGGGATCCCTGATCAGACGTGTTGACACCGCTCAACTTCTCCTTGCGCTGTCTCTGCAGCTCGCCAAGATCCCCTCGCTCGAGGAGAGTGGACCAGAGGCGTCGTCGCCATATGCTCACAGCAAGAAGATTGCCTACCCCGAGGGCGTGAAATCTCGCACCACGATTACGAAGCAGGACTGCCTGATCGACAACAACGTCACCATTGAGGAGAAGACATCGATCAAGGAGTGCGTGATCGGCGCCAACTGCCAGATCAACGAGGGGGCAAAGCTCTCTCAGTGTCTTCTCATGGATGGAGTTGTGGTTGGAAAGGGCTGCAAGCTGACCAAGTGCATCTTGGGCAAGAGATGCGTCATCGGGGCCGGCTCCGTATTGACTGATGTTGAGGTCCAGGAGAATCTCTTAGTGGAACCCAGAAGTAAGTTCTTCCTGCATACAATAAGCATTCAACTCAAGCTAACTATCGTAATTCTACCCTACAGCGGAGGACAAAGACAACAAACTGATGAGCTCGGAAGGCCTAGAGGCTACGGAGGCAGAGATGGAAGAGGTTCTCCAGGAGCAGGAGCTCTCCACGGAAGATGCCGTCGAAGACTAATGAATCAAGTAGTAAAATAAAAGTTCCGGCCCTGACCATCATATTCCAAAAAGCCTTCATGCATCGATAGTCACCATGAGCTAGGTCAAAGCGATAGGAGAAGTGAGACGTCTCCTGCACCGGAACCTTCCATCCGCAGCCACCTCCCCTACCCTAAGCTGCTTGCATGCATCGTGATCACCAACATCCATCCACCCGAGCCCATTGAAATGGGGGTTGGAGCAAGGCGGGGAGAGGGCATAGCTCTCCCCGTTGGCTTTTTTTGTATTTATTTGCTTTTGTTGTTGTCGCACAGAGAAAACGGGCTGCCGCATTCTGGTCATAGTGCAGTAGTGCTCTTGGCGATGGGCAGGAGGACCGATATTCCTCGGCATCTCGCCACATATATACAGTCTGGGAACCGCCTAACCAAGAATTACTGCAAGCACAGTAGCAAGCACTACGATACGGGCCAGGTCACAAGCCCGCACTTGACTACCCTTTTCAAGAGCAGAGGTCCGTAGTGGAGGCAGCCTGGTGTAGCATGTCCCGCTTCGCTCAGGGTATCATGCAACTAAGAAGGCTACCCTGCACAGTGATACACGATCCGTTTGCCGCCCGCACTACACACCACAGACCTGGTAAGTCCTCGCGACTACTGCACAAGCGGGAGGTCTCGCAGCGACCGCCAATGCAGCTCGTGAATCCTGCGTCTATAGCTCAGGCGAACAAGGTCACTGTTCCCAACTGCCGGATACTACCTTGCCTGACAGTCTCCGGTAGTGCCAAGGTGGCAGGTTTGATTTGCCAACCAAACCCACCAAGTATCGTTGCCAGGAGGATATGTGTCTGCCAATGCGAGCTGCGAGTTGAAATTGATAACCTAAACACCCCCACATCCCCTCTTCCCCTCTTGCAGGAGGGAGAGGAGAGGAGAGCCCTGATGAGCTACGCAGCACTCTCACTACTCCTAGAGTACAACTCCTGTCGTTGCAGGAGGCAGCCCAAGGGGATGTGAAGGAAGGACTCACTTGATATTGAGTATTTCAATTAAACTTTTTTTGCCAGGGACAGGGAGGGGCAGAACATGAAAGGAGGCAGATGATTACTCGGTCTGGGGAATTGCGTAAGAAGGGGATTGTTGAAATCCCATCCCATCCCGTATTGGTCCATCCCTGTGTCTAGAGCGATCGACGATCCCAGGCTGTACCTTGTCGTTTCCGATATGCGACGAACCATTGCTCCTTGTGGGGGAATTGGGTTCGTGGATTTCTGTCTTGTTCATGACCCCGAGAGAGTGTGTTCTCGGACCTCAGACATCCAGGGGGAAAGCAGGAAACCCCCCCTGGAGGCCTGAACTGGGTGAGCTACATTGGGCTGTGGAGTCTCCTCGGTGTCTGATTACCATGTATGGCTCTATGCAGGTTATCCGCTCCCAAACTGGGTACGAGCTACTAGGTGTGGCCAACTAAGTCGTCGATGTCTAGGGATGACTCGAGGATGCGTACATACGTAGACTTACCTCTCTAAGTAAACGCTGCTCGGACGAGGTGTCGCTGGTGCTGACTGATGTTTGCTTTTGGCTGCGCTCGGGTTGTAGGGTTGCCTCTGTAATGGACCTAAGGCGAGTTAGCCACAGCTAGCCAGCCACTCTTACCCCGGTTTTTCAGGTAGTCCAGGTTGTCGGCCTTCCTTTTCGTTTAGGAAGAGAAGTGCGTGCTGCTCTCGAGTCCAGTAGGCCGGAGTGGCTAGCCCGCAGCTTCCCCTCGAGGCTCGTGCACTGAGGTGTCAGCCATCCAAGACCTCGTGCGATACGATTTTAGGGCCTTGATATGGTTGCCGCACGGTTGTGACTGTTGTGACTACTGAAACTGGTGTGTTGTGGTTTCCTGTCGCGAGGAGTCGCGGTAGCTTGGAGCAGCATGGGCTCCAACCGTAGCCTTCGGGAAGCAAGAATAGACATTTAAACTGGGGACCTAGATCATGGTAGTGGCTGGGTGCTAGAAGCTTTCTTTTCAAAATAGAATCAATGGTTGGCTCTGGCACGATTCAGTGCGGCTGGGCAATAAGCGGCCAATGACGTGAAGCCCGCAGGGGTCTCGTTGACAGCCCGGGTTTGCTCGACTCTTTTCTCATCGAATGATGCGCTAAGGCCCTAATCCACCATCTCGAGCTAGGTTGCCCAGAGTTTCCCTCGGCCCTGGTCGGTTTAAGCCCAGAGATCTACCTGCGAGCTGCTGCGTACGTATGTACGTGCCGACGTGCAGCAGTTGATCATTTCATGCAGCTGGATAGTGGACCTGTCAGCGCAGGCTATCCGTCCGGTAGTGGGTGTTGTCTGAGCTGCACTATACGCTTCATCAATACAAACCGGCTGAACTGGTGCGCTATGCCCCATCACCGTAAGTGTCTAATTGTAGTCTGGAGAACCCTTTGGCCTAGTGCATGGCCGCGGTCGTGGATAGCGTTGGGTCAGCCGTGTAGGCATGGATGAACGAACATGG